TGTACCTCTCTCTCTCTCTCTCTCTCTCTCTCTCTCTCTCTGTGTGTGTGTGTGTGTGTGTGTGTGTTTACCTATGTATATGACTATTTCCTGCCACTTCAGTCTCAGGGATTCAGTTCAGGTTTTCAAGCTTGGAAGCAAGTGCCTTTACCACTGAGGCAACTTCCTAACCTCTAAATTCTCTTTTAAACATAACCCTTTCCATATCTAATTTTTAAATTTTAAAAAAATCAATATTCTAAGTATAATTGTTTTAAATATAAGGTGAGAAAGTCCCTTTTAAACATCAGGTTTGTTATGGTCAACCTAACTACATATATTCTTTTTTTAAGATTTATTTTTCTATAAACCTTACCAATTTCTTTCTGTATTCCAGACAAATAGTGAATGGCATTTATTGATATAGCCATTGTTCATTCAAGAGAAACTTACCCAAAAACTGAGAAGCAAACAAACTTTCTACATTTTGTCATGTCACACCTGTCACCATTACACATAATATTTTATATATGTATATACATACATACATACTCTACAGGCATTACAAGAAAATTTTCTGTTGCAAGCACAAATATTCTTGTTAATGACACAATGAAACACAGTCTCTGAAACCTAACATTGTCTTTTTGTGATACCAGTTTTATCTTATTAATCTTACAATTTGTACACCAAGTCAGATATTAAAATATTGACTCAAATTTATTTAAAGAAAATATATTATCAACTAACAATCATCTCATGTAATACAAAGTACATGTCAATACAGAGAAAATATATATCCATCTCATATCGATAAAAGCCCAGAAATCATAAAAAGTTATCACACATAAAAAAAATCACGCAGGCTAAGTTTAAAATTAACCTTTTAGAATTATTAAGTTTGTCAAGCAGAAACCATTTTAGCAATTACATTCCTCCCATTTCTTTTGCTGAGAGAGAATAATCTGCCCCTGCAAAACATTGACTTAGAGAAGAAAAGGGTTTATTTGCCTTTTACTTCCATGGGATAGAGTTTATCATAATAGTGAAGGCATTGCACCAGGACTATGAAAATCACTCAGTTGGCAATAAGGAGGCAGCCAGACCATACTTCGTCTTCACACAGGAAACTGAGAGAGAAAACAGGAAGTGGGGTTAAGCTAAACTATTTCAAATCCACCTAGAATGACTTTCTTCTTCTAGTAAACATCCACCTCCTAAAGGACTCCAAAGTAAACACACACACACACACACACACACACACACACACACACACACACACACTTTAAATCAGGTATGCCAAAAATATCAATTTTAACAAATAATATTTTCAAAAATAAATGCAGAAATTAAGTGACTAGAGTGTTGTTTGTTTATTCAGGTACTCTAGGAGAGGATTGTTTTCACCCAAACTATCTTAGAAATCACCTGGAGTTTACAAAATCTAATCTGCCATAATTCAGAGAGCGCCGAGATAGGAAAAAGAAACAATACTTTCTATGGTTATACAAATGTCAATAGACATTTCCTCAATGTGCTTATGAATGATGATTCTATCAAGAACTTTCCTTGCTTCCTCTTTTGAAAGGCTGATTAACTGATGAGAATGTTATAGTGAAGAGGTTAAAGGGCTGCAGGCCCAGGGCCAGACACAGATTATCTTTAGTACCCTTAATAGTCACTAATAATCTACCTTTGGATATGACCTAAAGTGAAAACTTTAGGATATATTAATTGAGCGGACTGCTGACTTGCACAAAAAAAAAAAAAAAAAGACTGAGCGTATCATCAGATATTAACAGCCTCTGGACTTCTAGCAGAGATTTCGGGGGTGGTGGTGGGGGGATCCATCAATGTATTTGAAGAGCTCCAGGGTTTATGATTTCCTTTGTTCTGTCACTGCAACAATTCATGAGAGTATTACCACATTATAACATGGAATTTAGAGTTACCTGAATCTGTATTCCTGGGCCATGTCCAGGTTATGTCCAGCATAAACCACATCCTACTCTTTGAGGTGAAATTTATGTTTGGTATCCACAGTTATGGTGCCCCAAATAAACCACTTTTCACTGGATGACACAGGTACCATTGTGGATCCCCTCTACCCAGTACTATTTCCTCGGGTGGATTTTAGTGAATGTTTTCTGTGCCTCCAATCTCCCTTGATTTGGTCAACAAAGAAATGTAGCTATTTTTCAAACTCATACCTTACCTATCATCCTCTGAACTTGCCTTCATCATTCTTTATCTCCAAGCAGAGCAAAATTTCTTTTCCAAAGAGGAAATGGTCGTGGCATTGTTTAAGATAAAAACAAACAAACAAAAAAGGAAGACATCCTATACTATACTTAAACATAGTAAAGTCTACTTCCTACTGGGAAGCTCTTTTGCCTCCATTTGGATGTCTTAGACTCTCTTTGAGGAGCTCTCTTTCCCTTAACCCTGATGCTTAAGTTTTCATTAAAAGATTTTTTACTATACTGAAAGCCAAAAATCCTGATTTGGCATGAGTTGGATCCTGGAAAGTTTAGGGGAACTCTCTAGGCCGCTGTAGATGACAATGTACAGTTATGTCTATGTTCCAACTAAGGTTTGTAGATGCTCATGCCAGAAGCCGTCTTGAAACACAGTTGTTGAGATTTTCTGACCATCACTCAGCTTATCTTTCTTGATAAGCATGGCTTGCAAGTTACTGTAGGTTTCCACTTAATGTTGAAAAGTACCACTGGCACCAAAGATACAAATCCAGACTCATCCAAACCCTATTCCTGAGTAATTAAATAATATGTGACTTTCCTAGGGGACATCTTCATAAAGGTTATGCTCCCAAATGTCCTAAGCCACTCTCAGGCCTACAAGAGAGCATCCTGAGATACAATAGAGGCTTCTTGAGAAAGCAGCACATTCTGGATTCAAATCACATTAGGATGGCTACATCTCTCCTAAATTATTTAAGGGAATTTCTGCTGCTTCCCTTCATGTGGAGAGTTCATTGTTTAGACAAGTGAGACTCTGTGCCCTCCTCCCCATCCCCATGATTTTCTGAGAAGGGACTGACTCCTCTAACTTCTAAGGCTGAATTAGGGGAAATCGGACTCAATGCATTTTGATTTCTTAAGAGGCTAAAACTGATGCTGTCTTTAGACTTTATATATTTGGACATATGGTCTTATCATGATGGGGAATTTAGCATATGTTTCTCAGATTATCAGTGGGTGGAATCATTTCTGGTCTATAGAAATACTGAGGAATGTCTAGAGGAAAAATAGCCACCCAAATATTGGTGATGACCAAATGTCAGGTAAATATGGGACACATCATCTTTATGTAGACCAGGATAAAATACAGGCAGGCAAGATTGGTACTAAGCAGGTAGCTGATAACTGCTCCATGATGCTATATGCTATACTCAACTTAGCTCCTGTTCTTTCATTTAGATACACAGGCAGGCATGGAATATGGAGGTTAGCTCCACTACAAATTAAAAGAGAATTTTTTTTTTTTTTTACTAAAGTATCATTGAGGGTGGTACTTTTATCTGAAATGACATTTCATCCTGAGATAGTTAGTTCTAAAAATAGAAAAGTTGCCTTAAGTCCAAATGATAACTTGACCTTTTGATCATTTTACTCAGCCTTCCTCATATCATAAAGAGATAGGGATATAAAAGTTTTCTAATCGGTTATTATACTGGGCACTCCTGGATTACATGTAATTGTGTCTAATCTGTCTGATAATTCTTTCAACATATTGTTTTGTATTCCTCATAAAAGCTAAGTGACAAATCCTGTGATCACTTCAATTTTTTATTTATGGCATTGAGTACTGATATATGTGTATATCAAATATATGTATATATACCTATATATACCAATTAAAATGCACAAGTATAAATTTATATATGTGAGTATTTGGGTTATTTATTAAAAGGCTAGATTTTGACAAGGATTTTCTTCCAAAACAGGTTCTAATGAGAAAAATTGATTAAAACTTTATTTCAATTAAGTAATAATCATGGGAAAAATAATAATTATATGGCATAAAGTGCTGTAAGTTAATCAAAATGCCTATTAGCAATATATCATAAAAATCCTTATTAAATAAATTGTTTTCAAAAGTATTCTTAGCATGTAAATGAAGGTGGTAAAGAGGCTCTGAATTATAATACATGTAAAAAGGACATATTTCTTTTCAAAGATATTTTTATTTTAAAATTTTCCTTTTCATGATTGGGATTTCAGCAGAGAGATATAATAGTCACATCCAGTACCTAAGCCAGTACCTAAGCATTTCAAAGTTCTTATCTCATCCAATTGAAACTAAAAGAAAAAAAAAAAAAACCCATCATTTTAAAACCAAGCTGTCAGTGACTGCTCAACATGCTTAACACCTCATCTCTGCTCAAGCTACATTCTATGTCTTTAAAAATCAACTTTTCTGCTTAATATTGACTCATACCTTTAAGAGTATAAATTTGCAATTAGCAGTTGCTGAAATCTACTAAAAAAATGGCGTAACTTTAAACTTGGCAAGTTATAGATCTAAAATAGAAGCTACAAAATCAGATTTTAAGACAAAGAATCCGCCTTCAGTTACAGCTATGTGCATGCATGTACTGTCTACAGGTTCTTAGGTTTTTATAACCTGTACATAGTATCAAAGTACACTTACTTATAAACTAAGTAAGTGTAAGTTATAATAACCAAATTAAACCCAAATTCTTTTTAGCTCATAGTGTACCTGACATTGGAAGGGAAAAGCCACAACCCCCAACAGTCTATCTAGTCAAGCTTGTGGAGGGGCAGGAACAAGAGCTCTGAGCTATTCTTAATTTAGGGTCCTGTCCTGACAGGAAGGAGTGGCTAAACCCTCAGTTTAGAGAGGGGGGAGTGGGGCTGTGCTCTCTGGGTCCTAGCGCCTCAGAGGGAAAGGGAAGAGTGTGGTTGGGAGTGGACAGGAATGCATTAAGGCCAGGAGCTGTAAGCCTCAGCTCAGACCCCCATTCCTCTGAAGAGTCTGCTGGGATTCCAGCCATGCTTGCAGCTGCGAGCTCCCTGGCGGCCGCCATCTGGGCAGTGCTCCATCTCCGGACTCTGTTGCTGGCTGCTGTCACCTTCTTGTTCCTGGCTGACTACCTCAAAAGCCGGCGCCCCAAGAACTACCCTCCGGGGCCGCGACGCCTGCCTTTCGTGGGCAATATATTGCAGATGGATTTGGAACAGCCGCACCTGGCGGTCCAACGGGTAGGAAGCTACCAGGGTTCCCCGACGTTGCCCTGATCTAATAATCTTACATTTCTGAATCTGCGACTTCCGGGAACAGGGGCAGTGATGGGCAGGGCTCTAAATTGGCTCATGAGCACAGTCGCTAATCCAGGCAAAGATTTAGCTTCTAAAGGTGCTCTTTTAAGAAATCGCGCAGCTCATCAGGGCAGTAAATGGCAGTTCTCTGTAAGTTTGAGGCCAGCTTGGTCTACAGAGCGAGTTCCAGGACAGCCAACACTGAAAAAGAAAGAAATCTGCAGCTCAGTTTCCAAATAATTGGAGAGTTTATGGCACACTTCCAGGGTGATTCCCTTGCGGTCAGAGAACACACTGTATGATTGTATGATTTGAATTCTTTAAATATGTCCATGTCTGTTTGATGACTTACTCATAAGTTATGATAGAGACAGATATGTCCTGCTCTTTAAAACTGTGTGTAAAGCCTCTGCCTCAGCTTAGTTAATTAAAGTGCCTCTCCAGGAAAACAAAACAAAACAAACAAACAAACAAAAAAACTGTGTGCCTCTGTGTGTGTGTGCGCGCACGCGTGCGCGCGTGCATGCGCGCGCTACTCACCTTGCTCTCTCTTACTAACTTTTATTTTTTTTTTTTTTTTTTTTTTTTTTACGGCATTGCTTACTGCTGAGGTACTGATGTTACCAGTTACTAAGAAAGCCACAGCAAGTCTCATGCTCCACTGGGAGAGTGTCCGTTTCTCCACTCAGTTCTGGAAGCTCTCCCGGATTAAATTGGGAAGTCTGTTCTGTATACACAGTACACATTTAAGATTGGTAGGCTGCTTGATGCCTCAACTGTGAGACTATGTAATGACTCTCTTTATCCAGAGTAAATTTGTTTTGCCTAGATTTTCTCTGATCTAACACTCTGAAAGCTCCGTTTTGGTTAGTACTTGAAAGGTTTATGCTTTTAAGTTCTTTTATTTTTACCCATACTAGAACTGCGTTCAGCTGCACAGAATATACTTGGGCCATTTTTTTTATTTTTCAAGTCTCATCATTAATTGTGAAAAGTAAAACATGCCTGTTTACAGTTTATATATAAGCATTTAAACCCAACTTTTTGTTGTTTTTGGTTTGTCTATTTGTTCTGTTTTAATCCTCTGTTTTTGGTTCCCTATCTTCCCATGGGCTTCTTGGACACTTTCTGAGTGGTTGACTGTTTATTCATCTTCTCTCTCTACATCTCTTTTATAGTCCTCTAGCATCTGCTTTGTGTTATTCAGTATGCACATGCAGCCCAAGCGATTTTGCTAACACTGCTTTACATGAGAAATGAAGCGACCACAAACATGGAGGGCCCCTCTCCCCTTTATGACACAGCGTCTCAGCTGTTGTCCCCACACACTGAGACCCACATCACTCACTGCCCTGCTCTTCAGTGTCCGGTGCAGCTGGAACTCAAAGGCAGAGGAGTCTGTTGCTTTGCTCCTTACTCATATTACCATCTCTGGGTTTTTGTTTTTTTTTTTTTTTTTTTTCTGCCCTTCCAAGGTCACAGTTTCCTTTGTGACCTCAAGCACTTTCTTTCTTGTTCCTGCAGAGGAGGCTGTGGAAGAAGGAAACCTCTTAGCTGTTCCCCTCCTCAGAATGCCTTTCCCCTCCATTCCCACACCCGATTGTGGGACACCAGGTTGACCATTTGCTGCACTTTTTAGCTGATCTCCCACTACATTCTGGCCTTTGTGTTTCCCCCACAAGTGTTAAAGAGGTCCTGATTGCTGCTGTTTTGTCCCTCTGCTTTCAAGTGTCTTTGCTTTCAGTTTTCATATTGATCATGGTGGTTTTGCTTCTTCACAGCAGGCTTGCATTTTGCCAGATAAGGAAGTTTCCAACATTTTTCAAGTGTTTTTCTCATCTATACTTTCTCTTTCCTGTTTTTCATGACATTGGTGGAGAAGCTGTGTCATCTGTGGTGCTGGGTCATGCTGTTTGTGGTCTGCTTTCTTTGTGCTGTGCATGGTACAGCTGCATCCTACACTCTATACTGCACCTTGTTCCTACATTGCTTCTCTGCCAAGCTCTCCTGTGCCACTTAGACCATGGCAGATTTCTGTCCTCAAATTTATCCCTTTGTTCTTATCTGTATCTTACATTTCTCTCTTAAGATTTCCCACTATTTGGAATAATTTTCCAAAATTATTTCTTCCATCTTTCCAACATCTGTGTCATCTCAATAAAATTAGGTTCTCTTGGGTCTTAGTGAATGAAGTAAGTAATGTCAGACTGGACATTTTGTGTAGTGTGCTGTGAGACTGATAGACACATACTAGGTCCATATTTTACTTGCAGAGGTCACTTCTGAGGCACTGAGAACTGACTTTTCTGAGTGGTGATTCAAATGGAAATTTAAGATGTTGTATTGTGAATCTGAGTCTTCCAAGTTTGTGTTCAGCACTGCTGACTCCTTACTCTCAGCAGCATGGGCTGGTAAAAAGGAAGGTAGCTACAAACTGCAGGACCCCATCAGTATAGTAGAGGAGGATAAATTTCAGTGATCTTGCCATATTGTCCTATAGGGAAGGGATGTTCTTTGATATGGGATGTCCTTCTCTGTGCTGCGAATATGTGTTGCTTTTATTGGTTCATAAATAAGACTGATTTGGCCGATGGCCAGATAGAATAGAGCCAGGTACGTACAGAAAGATGGTGGAGTTGGGGAGATGCCATGGACCTGCTGGAGAAGCAAGATATGAGTTAACAAGCCACAAGCATGTGGTAAAATATGAACTAAATGGGTTAATTTAATTGTGAGAGCTAGTCAGTAATATGCCTAAGCCATTGGTCAAACAATTATAATTAATACTATACCTGAGAGAGATTATTTTATTAGCTGCTGTGGGACAGGGCAGAGCACATAAAAACTTCCATTTACAGTCCTTATTACTACAAAAGAAGAGTGGAAACCAGAATTCTCCCCAGGCTTATTTGGGGATTCTCTTTATAGCAGTTCATCTATAGAAGTCACTATTCAGCTCACAGACTCAGTCCAGGAGAGACACATAGGGAGAGCAAGTGACAAGATGGCATCCATGAACACTACCACTGCAGCCCCTTGTAGGGTCCCATCTTGATGGTGTTCAACTCCAGGACATAGACACAGAAAGTTACAAAGATCTCTGGGCTGTGGAGCCTCACTTTTCTTGTATTTTGGCAAAAGAGTGTAAACATTGCTTGGAGTTTTGCTTTTGGCCAATGCTATCATAAGTTGTCAAGGTTCAAATATTCTATGTATGTCTTACTACACAGTCATATGAGGTTGGGTGATGTGTCTGATGTCACAGAAATACATTGTGGTGACACTGAGGCTAGGAACATCATGTCAGTCCGGTAATTTTTCAGTCCTTAATTTGTATTTTCTACTGGTTTACATTTTGATATCTGGGTGTAAACAAATGGAGTTAAAAAAATACAATTTAGGCATAATTACATTTTAAATCTTGCTATGGGGAAACAATCCCCACAAGCTGATCCACGGCCTTCCCTTTTGGGTTTATGCTCCCTTTTGTTCATACTCCATGATAGGCACACATGGAGTCACATTAGTTAGCAATCATTTGCTAGCATTCCTTTTCCCACTGAGTGAACCAGTCATGGATTCTCTGATTTCCCCATGTTGTGCAGTGAGATAATGACAAAGCAAACACTTGAACCAAACATGATTTGACGTAACGCTTACTGTCTACATATACCCTAAGTAGAAAAAACATGGCACTTAATGACTAGAGGAATTTATTCACAGACTCATTTATTCAAGGGACACTAAACAAGTGCTTAGCATGACAGGCACAACACAGAGAAGTCTATGGTCCAATGAGTCTTGTAGATTCTGATAATCAATTTGGATAGCATATGGAGTCTAGCTGGATGGGCAGCTCTGGGTCTAGCCTTTGATAGGATGATGCCATCAGTTACACTGTGCTTAGAAGGAATGTTTAACCAGTATCTAGAGAAGTGAAGGGATGGAACATTTTAAATCAATTAAAATGATGTCACTTAAAACAGGATGAGGACCGTGAGGAAACTGGGCTCTCAGTTTCTTAGCTTTGTCTGTGGGCATGTGACACATAATAAGTTAGATATTAGCATGTACTTCAAGCTAGCTATAACAATGGGACCACAATGTACAATGGTCCTAAGATTACCTTATATAATCGTTGTATGCATACAATTTCTTAATAAACTCCAAGTCATTGTTAGGATGTCTTATATTTGAGTTGATGGTTATTCCAATTTATTTCTTTTCGTTTCTTTCATCACTCAGATCTTATCAGAGCAGACTCCTGAGAACCCAGCTATATTTTTGCACACTAGGCAAGATTTGGGGGATCTGAATGCTGCATGAGCCAATCAACACTGTCTCTGGGCTCTGCTTCTCAGCCTTTTTTGTTCCTTCCATTACCAGAGTCCTCCTCTAAATCACACTTTCACATGTAAATAGCCACAGTCATTTTGCTATCGTTTCTTTTATCTTAGTTATTTATGCAAGCAAGCTATCAACAGATGTTTTTATTTATTGTGAATTCCATGCTTGCAGGCTAGAGAAGTAGCTAAGTGGGTAAGGGCACTGGCTACAAAACTTGGTCATCTGTATTTGATAACCCAGACCCACATGGTGAGAGGGTCCACTGACACCCACATCTGCAACCCCACCCATCTCTCTCTCTCTCTCTCTCTCTCACACACACACACACACACACACACACAGAGATATATACAGGTATGCGCACATTCACACACACACTCATATATATATACACACACACAATAAGTCAATCAACCAATTTATGAAAAAATATTTTTTATTATTCTGTGCTTGCTACAGGAGACTTTCACAGACATACCTTGGTCTTTGGCAGGTGACATTAGTGTAGCAGCAAAGAAAAGAAAATCAAAAATGTTTCCAAAACTAAGGTGTGTCATTCACAGGGAAATAAGTACTTATCGATATGATTGCCATTTGCTACACATATGCCTTCTATCCCTGGACACACAGGTATGAGCACACTCACTTCTAACAATTGAAATATTTTTCAGTTTGTGAAGAAGTATGGGAATGTTATCAGTCTGGATTTTGGAATTGTGTCTTCAGTGATTATAAGTAGTCTGCCTTTAATCAAAGAAGCCTTTACTCACCTGGATGAAAACTTTATGAGTCGCCCTAAATTTCCTATACAAAAACATATCTTTAATGAAAATGGTAAGTTTTTTGTGTGTTATAAGATGTGTATTGTAATTTTATGATACATAAAAGGCATCTATATGCCTTATTTATCCAACACTCCCACAAACTAATCCCTTTATGAAATGGCATCATTCATTAATAGGAGCTGGATATCACATGTCTTGAATGAAAGCGTCAATAAGATGGTTTATAGTATTTCCTAAGAGAGACTGGGGAAAACCACATGTTTAGCAAAACTAACTCTGGATGCTTTGATAGGAAGTAACCAGAGCACCCAAAACACAGCCAGACACACTGTGTTCTCACTTCCATTTTCCCATACCAACCATAGGAAAATGGATATAAGTCAGCTTCTCCTTTCTACTATATCTTATTATAGCTGCTTATACTCTTATCATTAAAATCTGAAGGACTCTAGGCTCCTAGCCAATTTTATAATTAGTATAAATGCTTTATATTATCATCAAATAAAGTCATAAGTTGAAAACAGAATTTGAAATCTATTAATCCAACAAAACAGCATTTTAAATGCTTTCTAATTACCCTAAAATGATTTTACATAAATTCACTATGTTGTCTTCTGTGAGAAGCACAGAAGCAGAGTTACTATTGCTGTGATGAAATACCATGACCAAAGAAACTTGGAGAAGAAAAGGTTTATTTGGCTTATGCTTCCATATCACTGTTCATCATCAAAGAAACTCAAGGCAAGAACCCAGAAGCAGGAGCTGATGCAGAGGCCATGGATAAATGCTGCTTACTGTCTTGCTCCACATGGCTTATTCAGCCTTCTTTCTTATAGAACCACATGAGGAACTCTATTAAAGGGTTGCAGCATTGGGAAGGTTGAGAACCACTTAGGCTGAGAGCTCCTGGTAGCAGTGGCTTTACCAGAGGTCAATGAGAATTTACAGCAGATGACAATTGATATTCATAAGGTCAACCCACTAGATGAACAATTATCTGATGGAGAGAATCTCATGAAGCAAGGCTTATGAGGCCATTGCCGATGAACTGTTTGTAATTTTTCTCATGTGCATACATTCCGTCCCTAAAAACAACTATGGGTATTTTTCCCACTGCTTGTATGTTTATCTCATAAAAAATACTCCATCCACTGGGCACACATATAGCTATGGATGATCAGGAAGATAATTTCTGATTAATTGTGTAATTCCGATGAGTAGAAATACTACTAGGATATTTTTCATTACTCATTGACATAGGAAAGTAATAGCATTCTCAGTTACAAAGACAGCTAATTTTAGACTTAAGACCAAATTCAAAGCAAACTGATTGTCCCTGGAGACAATGCACAAGAACAATTCCCCAGGTATTTATTGCTGATTCAAGGTCGGGCATAGAACAACTTTAGTAGACATAACTTTCTCAGCAGTGGACTTTCTGAATTTATTCCCAAACTCAAGGTTCAGTCAACTAAATGATTATTGTTTAAATCCTGAATTTCAATGTCACTCTCTGTCTGGGAACCCCAATGACTGAGAGATACATGCTTACTTTATTCACCACGCCCAGTCAGCATGACCTCCCTAGACTAAGAGAAACTGTGTGGTCAGTACAGCTGTTTCTTATTGTTCACTCCTACATTCAAAACAGCTGGACAAAACAGCCCTACAGACTACAGCCAGGGTATGTGAATCTTCTTCGAATCCCCCAAGACAGCGCCCCTTACCAGCAGGAAGTAGTTTGGAAAGAACGACGCCCAAATTCCCAAATATTGTGTATAAATGTTTGCTTTCATTTAATTGGACTGTTATATAAAATAAAATAAAATAAAAAAAAGTGCTGTGTGACCCTGAAAATGTGATTCATATTTATCCAGAGGCTTTGCTGTAGTAAGTAGGACAAAATGTAAGAGAAGTGTGTATGTATATGTAGATGCTTTGGTTCTGAAGAAACTTGAATTTGCTTACCTTATTAGTTACCTGGTAACCATATTTCCTTATAAAATTTACTTTATCCTTGTATCTCACTTTTTTACCCATTGTAATAGATTGGGGATATTATAATAATAAGCCTAGCCTTTGGATTTTCTAAGTGTCCTAAATTAAAGAATATATTAGAAATACTGACTAAACTGTATCATTTCAAGCCACTGGGGTATGCTAGTTATTATGCTTCCAGCTTTGTGATAGTCTCCCTAGACAGCCACCAAGCCCTTTATTGGCCTTTCTCCTTTCCATCTTACATGTACCCATCCAGTTTATCAGTTAAATTTAGATCACAATCACAATGCTATAATGCTAAATCTCTTCTTTCCAGGGTTGGTCTTCTCCAGCGGCCAGACATGGAAGGAGCAAAGAAGGTTCGCTCTGATGACACTGAGGAACTTTGGGTTAGGAAAGAAGAGCCTAGAGCAGCGCATACAGGAGGAAGCCAGACACCTTGTGGAGGCCATAAAAGAGGAGGGAGGTGGGCATCTCACAGGGCAGGTATGGGAGGCTGTGGTCCTTTCAGTCATTGAACAGATTCTTCCTGAGTGTCTAAGTGCTTGTTCAGGGCTGCACTGTGCTGAACACTGAGGGTTGAGCAGTGAACATCTAGTGGTGACCCTGCTCTGGGAGTTCTGCAGCTAAGCACACAAATGGTCATTAGACATACTGCTGCACTTAAGACCTGGTCATCATTCTGATTTTCCAGATACTGACAGGTTCTGTGGTGCATGTTAAACCTCATAGCAAACTATACCCAGGGCCTCTTAAATGCTTCTCGGTTATCTATGTTTCTCTAACATATGGACTTAACAAACCAATCAATACCTTTGAAAGATGCATCTCTTTCTTTATCCACCTCCAGGACAACCTTTTGACCCTCACTTCAAGATCAACAATGCTGTTTCCAATATCATTTGCTCTGTCACTTTTGGTGAGCGTTTTGAGTACCATGACAGTCAGTTTCAGGAGCTGCTGAAGCTACTGGATAAGGCCATGTATTTGGGTTCCTCAATAATGGTCCATGTAAGCATTTGGGCTTCCTTTATTTTGGGAGATTTGACTGGGGCTAATTCAAGTACAGGTAGATTCTTTCTTTATGTTCCCAGGACTTTTTGAAGCTAAAACTAATGTCTTTTCATTGAATTTGATACAAATTTACCTGTTGATTTGGAAGTGTCCCATAAGAAACCTTACTGTGTACAAAATGTTTCTAATGTTTTAATGAAGTACTGGGGTTGGGTATTTAGGTCAGTGGTAGTGTGCTTGTCTAGCAAGCACAAGGTTCAGTCCTCAGCTTCGGGGATGGGGGGTTGGGGGGGAGGACTGGGCTGAAGAGATGGCTCTGCTACTCTTTTTTAAAGTAAGGAGATATTATTGTTGATTTTGCCTGTGTCTCTCCCATGCCTTTTCATAGCTCACATGCAAATTCTAAGTATACTTTCTAGCTATCCTCCTGTGTGCATGCTCCTCTTTGTAAACCCTTTGTCACTGTCCATTAATCTTTTCTCAATGGTTAGACATTTAGTTTTCTCTAAGTTAAGGCTTTCATTAATATTTTAAGTGTTCATGTTGCCACATCCACTCATTTTTCTTGGGTTTTCATTTAGACATAAATCTTTACCCCCCCCTTCCACTGGGCTCTACGCCCCTATGCTTATCCCTACACAATGTTCCTCTTAGAATTTCCTTAGCTATCTCAGAAATGGTCTTGTGGGTTGAGCTTTCATCTTCATTTGGTTATAGGAGCTTGGCAATATTCCCCATGTTTTCTCAATGGGCCACTGTTCATCCAAGAGTTTACCTTTTAGTCTCTGTAGTTTCTGTAGTGCTTCTTGCTACTGATTTTTAGTTGTATTACACTATGGTCTATTTGGATATAAGAGATTATTTCACTCTTTTGTATTTGGTAAGGCTTGAGTCTTTATTTTAGAGGAAATTCCAGATGCAATTAAGAAGAAAGTATTTTCTGTTTCGTTTGGGTGGAATATTCTCCAGATGCCTGCTAAGTCCATTTTATCTGCAGTGCAGTTTGGCTCTGTGGATGCTCTGTTGGTTTTTGCTAGGGATGACCTATGCAGGATTGGGAGGGGAGTGCTGACATTACCATACTTATTTCATGAGAATGTCTGAACTGTTTGTTTTATGACATTGGGGTTCCCAAATTTTGGTGCATATATATTTACATTTGTTCTAACTGATGAGTTGTTCCTTTTATGAATGTGTAGTGACCTTCTTTATCTCAGCTAATTTTAATTTGACATAAAAATAGTTTGTTTCCAGTTTCTGTTTGCTTCATGACTTGTTTAAGGTAATTATGGAGAGTGGTTAACTAGTTATGATAATTCTGTCAATTTTTCCCCTGGGTGCTTGGAGTATTTGGTTTTCACTTTCCCTTGATTGGTATTAAGGACTTTCTTGTTTACTGTGTTAGACATGATGGTCTCCTTCCTAGATATTCTTTATTCAGCTGTTCTCACAAAATTTATTCTTTTCCTGTGTTCTCATAATTGAGACCCATTTTTCTTCCTTCTCTGTGTGCAGCACTCAGTTGAGTATCTTCGTTGGTGTGGTCTTGGTCAGTCATTGCATGTCAGCGAGACTATTTCCATTAGAAGTTAATTTTTTAAAGTTAATTACATATGTATTGGGGTGGGTGTGCATGTGGGTGTAGGTGTCAGGCTTGTGCAACCAACACTTTTACTAACTGAGCCATCTCCTGGGATGAACCTTTTAAAACTTTAACTCTTGCTTCTCTCCATTTTGGAGATGTTCTTAATTGATCGTGTTTATTTAGTGATCTAAATGACTCTTGTATTTAAATATCTTTTTGTTTCTTTGACTTGGGAAAGTTTGTGCTGTAATTGACTTCATTGAATTCATTCTCTATCCATTTACCTTTTAACTCAGCTTCTGAAATAAAGTCCTGCACATTCCTAGGCTTGGTCCCTTCACCATATCACATCATTCTGGCTGGGGTCATTATTTAATTTTTTTTTTGTTGTTTGTTTCTGCTGCTGGGATGTAACTGGATCTTCTCTTTGGTTGAGACTGTTGCTGGTGTTTTCCACTGTGCTTTTTTGTTTGTTTGTTTTGTTTGATATTCTCTTGTTTTTGTTTGTGATTCAACTTTTAAATTCCCAGCACTTCTATTTGTTTGTTGTTTGTTTTTTATAAAATCTCAGTTTCCTTGCTGTATTTTCTCCTGTCCTGCCCATCTCTCATCTTTTTGCTACCTGTCTCCCCCTTCCCCATTTCTTCCACTAGGCTAACTTTCACATCTAGAGCCCACAGTGACTCCTCTGCCTATTTGTACCTCCTTATAATCTCTGATCACTTGGACCAGAAAAACTTAGACACCCAACATTTGACGTATTTTAGGGTCATTGAATTGAGTTACGATTTTTAGCACCATGCACCATCTTGTCTTTTTTGTTTCTCAAACTTGTTTTAATCTCTGCATCTATTGATCAGGATGTCTCTTCTAAACACTTTCAAATGATGTTCATATTGAGTAGCCTGTTCTCAAAGGCTAGTATCATTTTGGAATTGAAAACAAACTGCTCTAGAAGCAATGCTAAACTGTACAGATATAGGGCATGCTTAAAGTCATTAATAGTTCACTAACATGTCTCTGTTGAAATGATAATGTAAAGGCTACTGTGAAATTTACTATAAAGTCAAAATTACTTAAGGTGAGCATGGATACAGTATGTGAGATAAAGTAAGTGAGATAAAGGGAGGAGAACAGGAACAGATAAAAAGAAGAGGGAATGGAGAGAAATGTTATAAGGGAGAAGAGAAAAATACAAGAGATTTAAGGGGGTGTATGAAAAATATCGCTCAGTAGTGGAAATGTTGAAAACTCAAATTAGATAAATGAAAGAAAATAAAGTGAAATGTGAAGGAAATATTGTTAAGCCAATAAAGTCAAAGTACTACAAAATGCAAGGGATATCATACGTTATAAAAAATAATTAATGGAAGAGAAACGTTATTTTTCTCCAAATGAAAGAAATTATGGCTTTAGATTAATTCACAAAAGGGAATAAAAATTAAAAATGCAATAATAATAATAATAATAAAACCACTGTGCACTTAAAAATCTTGCAAATGTAAAGGAAAAAGAGACGAAAGAAACAATAAAGAAAAGGCAACTGAATGAATTTCATTTTGGGTCATCAGAAATTGGAGGCTGCCTGTTACATGCATGGAGGAGGTGAGCTGAGCCTGTGGGCTTCTGTCTTGCCTTTGGCTCTGTGTTGCTTAGTCTGTGCTGGAGCAAGTTTCTCATGGCCTGGGAATTGTTTACACAGAAGCTCTTTTCCTTCTGTGGGTAACAGCGGCCTCTGCTGGCTATAAATAGCTTTACATTTCGTGATCAGGGCACATCTCACACTATCAAGATTTCCTAGATTAAAACCCCTGATGAGACTCCCGGGTGGGGGTGTATCCCAAGTGTTGGGGAAACAAGAGGACCTGCTGTAAGGATTGAAGCATTATGCTGGCCTTGCCCCTCACACCTGGCAAAATGCACTCATGCAGTACCCTGGTCAGCCCAGGATTACGGGATTACGGGTCTTCACGCAAGTGCAAAGAATCTTTTTTTTTTTTTTTTTTTTTTTTTTTTTTAGTTCTAATAAAACTATTGTAGCTATATTTTTAAATGTCTTCTTTTTAATTTATTATTTTACATGTCCATCCCAGTTCCCTCTCCCTCCCTACTTTCTCCTTCCCTCCCTCCCTTTTACCCTCTCTGCCCTCTCACATGCACCCTAACCACTCTCCCCTCCCATCCCCCCCACCCCAATTCCATATGTAGAGGAATGCCATCCAGTTGGGGTCATGTAGCTCTGACAGGTCATGTGAGGTAGGGACTAGGGCTTCTCTCCTGTCTCTAGGTTAAGGCAGTTATCCCTCCATGGGGAATGTGTTTACAAGGTCCTTTTGTGTACCAGGGATACAGTATTGTACTCTCCTTCTGCATCTAGTTTGACTCAGTGTTTATGTGTGGGTGTTTGCTCCTGTTTCCAACAGGTATTAGATGAGGGCTCCATGGATAAGTTAGTTGTTGATCTCACTATCCGGGAAGGGCATTTATGGTAGCCTTTCCACGGAAGCTCAAATTGTTAGTTGGTGGCAGTCTTGTAGGTCTCTAGACCTTTCTTTGGGTTCAGTTTTCTCTTCAAACCAATATTGGCTCCCTCTTTTATGTTCTCTCTCTCTCTCTCTCTCTCTCTCTCTCTCTCTCTCTCTCTCCTCTGTCTTCTATTCCTACCCGGACTCAATCTTCCTAGTCACATGTGTTTTCCTTTCCTCCCCCTCTCTTTCTACTTCTCTCTCCATTCGCTGCCCCCCCCCACTTCCCCTGTGCTCTGGGGGACTTGTCCCTTTCCACTTCTGTGAGGGACTTTATATGAATCTCTTAGAATATACCTTGTATCCTAGTTCATCTGGTGATGTGAATTATAGGCTGGTGATCCTTTGCTCTAGGTCTAAAATCCATATATGAGGGAGTACATACTATGTTCCTCTTTTTGTGACTGGGTTACCTCATTCAGGATGGTTTCTTCAAGTTCCATTCACTTGCCTGCAAGGATCCTTTAAAAGAAAGCCAAGTGGCCCCTGCGCCCCACCCTGCCTACTTACTCCCTGTTGGTCTTCCTAAGGGCAGACAGGACTTTTCCTGCCCCCCCCCACCCTCTCCTTCTCCCTTCACTTTCTCCATTCCCTCCCCTTCCTAATAAAACTTATCACTTAAGCTCTGTCTGCCTGGGGTGTTTATTCCCTCACTGGCCATGAAAATCCACCGAGGTCCTCCTTGACCAGTATTCTAACTCCTGCCTTCACACATTCAGGGCCTCCTGAGTACTGATCACCATGCTGCAGAAATGCCCCTCTACATGTCACATACACCCCTGGAATGTCAGAGTTTCTGGGGTTTTACAGCAGTGAATCACAGGAGGTCAGCTCCATAATTTGATCCAGCCCATGATCTCAGACTCAGAATATCAAATCTCAGGGTTAATTCCAGTTGATAAGCTCAACTTGTTATATTGTTTAAGTATTTGTTCCTGCTTTACTCAGGAAAGTTTTAATCAGTCTTTTTAGCTAAGTTCCCGAGTATTACAGATTATCTTCACTCACATTTCCTGTACCTATGAGATTAGTCAAATATAGATGCTTAATCTTCAATCACTTCATAGACATGCAGAACATGGCATTTAAATGGTTTAATATTAGTACTCCGTTGACATGAGACACTGTTGCTCCTGACAGCACCGTGCACTTTCCCGAAAATATGTTGGACACTGTTGTTGCTCCTGCTGGAGTTCAATCTCGCCTCAGCTAATGGCCTGTTGGGCATAGAATTGCCCCCATCTTGACCACTGATTTGGACATGCAGTCCTATGTGCTTGCAGGAGACAAATATAGAAGACTGCTTGACCTTGCCAAGTCAGGGTAAGACAGCCATTCTATTTCCCTGCTGTTGTTGTGGTCTGTCAAGTTCTCTTGGCCTTAGCCAAATCTGGGTGTACCAACGTCGCTGTGAGACCTAGGGTGACTGTTCAGGTGGCTTGCTGTTTCTGTCCTTGCTGCACCTTTTGGAAGTTGTCCATCCGCATTTCCTGTCTACTCTAGTATTGTTAATTTCCTTCTCAGGTCTTGATGAGGTTGAAGATTAAACTATCACAACTATTATTCTCTCTTCCTAGTTAGATATATTAGGTACTAGACTTAGTTTTCCAGCTTAGGACAACTCTATTGTAAACTCCATTATGCCCTCACCCTAGGACTAGATATGTAGGTCATTTTGTTCTCGATTTTCCTTTTCTTAGAGCACATTTGTTATTCACTGTTTTGTATATAGTTTTGTATTAAGCCTAAATCTTTTCTTTAGACTAAAAGGGGAATTGTAGTGAGGTAGTCCTTCTGTAGCACTGACCACGCCCATTGGGGGGGTGGAGCGATGGGCGGAGGTGACCTGAGGAAGGAGGTCGGAGGGGGCCAGGAAGGTGCTCTCTCTTTCTGGCGTGACTTGGACAGGAGAGGATCGGGTTGAATTTCCTGGTGTTCATCTGTCTAGGTTGTAAGTTATTTCTCCCTGATTAAACATCTATTCGGCCTATTTGTTTATCCTGATCCTTATTTACCACAATACCCTTTATATGCTTTCCAGCTTGATCTCCCTTCCTGCCACCTTCATCCTTTGACCTTTCAGTGTCTGTGATGTCGTCAGGATCAGAACTGGGATAACTGCTGAAAGCTATGCCAGTGTTTGTCCTAGAGTGGAAAGAGCTGGGCCAGTGTGAAGTGTCTGAAGCTGGTGTATCAGGCGTGGGAGTGTTAAAATGCCCACCAGTGGGTATAAAGGATAACAGAAGTTCAGATGTTCCCACAGTTCCTTGTAGAAGATGAATAGGGAAAGTCACGACTGTGAGGAAACAAAAAAGTGACTTTATGTTGTTTGCATGATCATTTTCTTCTCCCTAATTAGTTCTATAACATCTTCCCATGGATAATGAAACATCTTCCTGGACAACACCAAACAACGATAGCTACCTGGAGAACACTGAAATCATATATTTCTGATATTATTGACAATCACCGCAAAGACTGGGACCCTGATGAGCCAAGAGACTTCATTGATGCTTTCCTCAAGGAAATGACAAAGGTGTGAAAGATGATGTCTGTGTCTTCTTACAGAAAGAGTGGTCTGGAATAGCTTCCAACTAACTGATTCATCAGCAGGCTACCACAAAGGTAGCGGAGATTTATTAACCATAGCAGAGATCTATTGTCTCATAGTTCTAGATTGTCCCTGTAATCCTGCCAGCCAGGCAACCTACTTTGGGAGACAATAGAAACTTCAGTGCCTGTGTCTCCCATCTCCTAGGGGACATTGATGCTTGTTGCTGTGGCTCCCTGCTCCGTCTTCAATGCCAAGATTGCAACATCTCTTTCCTTTCTTATCCCTTTGCATCTTATTTCTCCTGTTATAACCCTGAAGGCCCCTCTCTTATGATAACCTTCCCTCCTGAAATTAATGATAGCTACAAGATCTATTTTTGTGCATAAGGTAGCATGGACATCTTTAAAGGTCATTTATTTCACACGCCCTTGGAAGTAAAACATATGAGTAATATTTTATAAACACATAATATTTTATAAACCCATATAACTATGGGTTTGGGGGGTCTTTAGAAATAAAGGAGTTGCTACCATTTGACTTGAAGTCCTGGCAATGACCAGATATTTTTCTTATTTTTCTTAGTATTCCCATATGTGAAGGACATAGACAAAGTAAAAGTTAAATTTCAGAGTTTTGTTTTGTTATGAGTTGTCCCAGGGATGGTTACCCTCCCCGACTCAGACCCCACTGCAACAGACAATCTTTGGCTAAGTAAGTGATAGAGTTTCACTTTCATATATAGGTGAGGTATCTACTTCTCCCTAGACTTCAGATCAGCTCTATTCAAATTAGACTAGAGCAAGAAGACACTGAGGCAACATTACTTAACTTTGCATCATTGTGATAACAATATATGGCAACTACAACTGAATAAAGCAAAAGTTTATTCTGGCCAAGTTTCAGAACATTTCAGTCCATCATGGTGAAGGGCAAAGCAGTTCAGCTCATAGGGCATGGGGGTATGGTGGAGATATTCACATTACAGTATGCAGAAAGCAGCAAACAAGGAAGGGACCATGGGTTTGGTGTAACTCTGAAAGTTACCATCCCTTTCTACAGGCACCTAGTTCCTTCAGCTAGATGCTATTTTCTTATTTCCAAGATGTCCCCCAAATACTAGCAGTGGAAGGAACCAAGTATTTAAAACATGAATCTGTGGGGGAACATCTTGAATTCAAACCATACTGTAAAATGTAAGGCCTTGTAGATCTAGTAAGATCCTAGTATACCTCTGGCAAATACATATCCCTAATCTGTCAAAGAAGCTTCAACACATTGGATTATGAGCTCTTCCTCTGCCAGGACACGTGTGTGTGTGTGTGTGTGTGTGTGTGTGTGTGTGTGTGTGTGTGTTATCTTGTCTCATTTCATCTTCCTCTCATGATATATAGAAGCAATGTTTATGCCCAGAGGAGGAGGCAAACCATTTACTATGTGAAGTGCAGGTATGAGACCAACAACATAAACAGCAATGCTAACAAACTGATGCTTCTAGAGGAAGTGAGCAAAGGTGGTGCTTTGTCATAAAGAACCATTGATGAGATCAGTGAGGTTTTAACTTTTCAAGATGATGCAGATTGGAGAATTAAAGAGCACAGAAAATTCATATTAACCTTTCGTGTTATCGGCAAAGTCATCTGTCAAATACCAAAGGGCACACCACTCTGAATGACTTCATGCAATTCATTCCTCAGGATGAGGACCAGTGTTATGAGACAATCACAAATCCTCTAACTAAACAAGTACATGCTGTCTTTTTCTAGTACCCAGGCAAGACTACTACAAGTTTCAATGAAGAAAACCTCATCTGCAGCACTCTGGACCTCTTCCTCGCTGGAACAGAGACAACATCTACAACACTGCGCTGGGCTCTGCTCTACATGGCCCTCTACCCAGAAGTCCAAGGTGAGCATGTGGTGACCACATCTAACCAAGGCTGAGTGGGTTCAGAAACAAGGATGGGGGAGAGGGTGAGAAGAGGCAGAACAGCTGTGAAGTGATGTGCACTTGGGAAACAGCACATGTTCTTTTAGGACTATGATTGTCCCAGGGCTACAGATACTACAGAGTCTGCACCTTCATCATTCTTGGAGTTCAGGGGAAAAGAGAGGAGTCAGTTTACATTGTAGTAGGTTCCAGCAAAGAGTGCATTTACCATACAACATTCATCCCACCCTCCTTCATTTTTTAACAATCCTTCTCACTTTGAGTACTGTCCTAATTCTTTATTCTGGTATTTGATGTCTTGCAATATGCTCATCTCTGCCAGTGCAGGGATCTGCCTGTTTCTCCCTCACAAATGGTAGGACAACAAAGTGTAGCCTATCATATCTGGCTTTTTTGACTTTGTTCTGTAATTCCAACTCATGTTCTTCTGCTTGTATGACAATCAATTTACTCTAAGCAATACACACACAAATGTTATTTATACATTATATATATGTATATGTGTGTATGTGTATATATGTGTGTGTATATATATATATGTACATATATAAAATCTATATCTGTATTATGCTTATCTGGGTTACTATATAAAATGCCTTTCTTGATGAAGGTTCTATTTTTAAGAAATCTTAAAGCCTATTGAGTTAAGGTTCAGGCTTGCCTTCTGAAACAAAGATTCGAGGATATCAGTATATTTTTAAAATCTTAAGTATATTTTAATTTTGTCTGTGTGTGTGCACATGTGCATGCTCTCTTTCCATGTGTACATATGGAGATCTAAGAACAACTTATGGAAGTTGGTATTTCCCATCGTGTGGGTTCGTGAGCTCCATCACATATCATCAGGTTTGGCCTTAAGTGCTAAGCCATCTCACCAACCAGTGTACTAATTTATAGAAGTTGAATTCATGTTCATTTTATAATATTAGCAGTAGTCAACAATTGGAAGCATCCAAGATACTCATGGGCAACGAATAAAGTTCAGCACAGAAGTTCAACCCTCAAGGACAGACATCTTGATGCATGCACAAATATGAAAGACAAAAATCCTGTACATTTAACTGTACAAATTCTCTAGAATAGTTAAATTTGTAGACAGGGAAGGAAGACTATAAGAAGGATAAATCAAAAATTATGAAGGCATAGTTTGTTTTGCAAGATAAAGTGGTCCTGCCATTACTTTTACAACAATATAGATATGTTTGTTATTTCAACTTTGGCATAGTGGCTGCACCTATATGTATTGCCTTTTCAATCACCAATTGCAATTTCAGTTACCAGCCTGCTTTTTTTGGCAGCAGCCCAGTTGCTCAGGCCGCAGCCTGGTGGGAATTCGGTTTCCATAGGCATTAGTTCAGATGCTGCTGCTAAATGTAGCTTTAACTAAATCTCTATCATTTCATTTAGAAGTAAAACTCAGAGTTGAAGACTGAGGTGGAAACCTGCTAGCTTAGAGAGGCTGTCAGTACTAGTTAACCCTCTCTCACAGCTGGTATCTTCCAAAAGCACTTCTTTCTGCTCCACCAAAGCGAACAAACAAAAAAGCAGAATCACTCAAAACCCCTCCCAGCTACTTCCAGTGCATCTCTCTTCAAGCTTCCTCTGATGAGCTACTATTACTTTCTGTCAACTATTCGCTAACTCTCCTGACCCAAGGTTAATTTTATTTAACTCAAATGCAAACTCAAGGTTCACAGTATGATCGAATATACCCCAACCTACATTTAATATTGTATCATCCTGCAATTAAAATTGAAAGAAGAGCTATGATTAGCGACCCATACCATTAATCAAAATGCTTCAGAAATTGAGGCAAGAATGTTGAAAACTCAAGATGATCATGGACACAAATTTGCCCTACCTCAAAATTATCATAGTTTTTGAGATCTGATTTATGTTATATGAGTTTTATTCCCAATTAATTCTTCTATATGTACAGTACTGCCAATGTTAGACATTTATATATCTATCTCAGGAGAAAGAGCCATGCTGGACCTTGTAAAGGACCTAGAGTTCCAAATTTCTTTTACCTTATAGCAGTAGTGACCTCAGATGAGGCTCACAGACTCCCCAGGCAGAGAACTGGAGGAGGAAGGGGGCATTTTCTCTACATGCCTTGTTCCAAGGATGAAACATCATATCTATTTATGTTTTATTTTCAAGAGTCAAATTTCCTCTTTAAGGAATCTGGGAAATGACATCTTTATCTAGAAAAGCAAGTAAACAGCTGAACATATACTGCTCTAAAATAGTGAAGATACTAAGAGTACCTACCATTGTTATAATGATTGTAGCAATTAATGTAAATCTCAAGGAACCCTTATAATAAGGCTGATTTATTCTCAATAAGCAGATGAAGAAACTAATGCTCATAAAATATTACCAGTTTCACCATCAATGGTGCCCAGAAACACATTGCAATTCACTGCCCATGATGACATGTATCCTTGAGAAATTGATCTGCAGATATGCTGTGGTCTCAATGTTTGTGCCCTCCCTATACATTCATTGGAACTTAATTACCATTGTGACAGTGTGAGGAGGTGATTGCCTGTTATAAATGGAATTTATGCTGCAGAAAGAGGAACTAGATGGATTCTTTCCACTTATGGCATGATGATATAACAGATTTCCCAACCATGACAAAGGAAATTGGTCCTTACCAGACAAGAAAACTATTGTCTTGATCTTAAGAGTTCACAGATTCTACAAGTACAAAAAGCAAAAGTGTGCTGATGATAATATATCCAGTAAAAATATTTATTTATAGAAGTCTGAACAGACACTGATAAGAGCTTAGCCATTGCCATCCTGATTATTCACTTCGGGATATGTAGAAATTCATAGTTGTGCTGCAGGCTTGAAGAAAGCTGTATAGTCTACAGTTTCTAAATCGGGCTTCCTAAGGGTAGAGAACGTTTGTTTCCTCACAATCAGGACATTTGATGAAATAAAAGCAAAAAAGTTTAGAAGAAAGCATTAAAGTTTAATGGAGCCTCCCATTTCCTTGAAGAAAAAGTACAGGCTGAAATTGACACAGTGATTGGTCAGGAGAAACAGCCCAGCCTGACTGACAGAGACTCCATGCCCTACACCAATGCTGTTGTCCACGAGGTACAGAGAATGGGAAATATCATCCCTCTGAATGTTCCCAGGGAAGTGACAGCTGACACTACATTGGCTGGATTCCACCTGCCGAAGGTAAGAAGGTTCAGTCATGGAAGTTTTTAACCACCAACCCTCTGCATGTGTCTAGTCCATACATTGTCTTGCGTCTTTGCTACCTTCTCTAGGGGTCTGTACTCCATATCAATTTGACTTCTCTGCACATGGACCCCAAAGAATGGGCAACCCCAGACATCTTCAATCCAGAACACTTTTTAGAGAATGGACAGTTTAAGAAGAGAGAATCTTTTCTGCCGTTCTCAATGGGTGAGTTGTGATGAGCAGGAGAGAGTTCAGAGCTCTACCTCACCCTTTGCCTTCTTTCTGGGATCCTTACAGATGAGCCTTTCCAGTATATCTCCACTTTGCAGTTGGTTTCAGTCCAGAACTCCTACACATGCAGTGTCAATCCTTCTTTATTCTGGTGAGGATTTCAACTTCCTTTGTTCTGTTTTCTGCACCACTGACAACAGAAACCCAAATCCTGCCTCTTACTGAGCCACAAAGCTGGATACCTGCCATTGTGTAGACATTTTAAGTGTCACAAGTTCTTTTTACAGGGTGCTTCCTTTTGAGGAAGAGAGCTCAGTTTTAGAATAGCTGGAATTAGCTTAATGAATTGGCTTCTATCCTGTAAACACTCCCTGGATAGATCTTATCTTTTAAAATTGCAGCCACCTTTGTTAAATCAAGTTAGTACATGCATCTGCTATATCACCCGACAAGCAGGAAAGGGAGATGACTCTTTCCCCCTCGTGCTTTCTGCCAGGCAAGTTATTAAAGGCTGTAATAATAGTGTTGTAAAATATATAACCAAGCTGGGCATTGGTGGTACATGGCTTTAATCCCAGCACTCGGGATGCAGAGGCAGGTTGATCTTTGTGAGTCCAAGGCCAGACTGGTCTACAGAGCTAGTTCCAGGGCAGGCTCCAAAGCAATACAGAGAAACCTTGTTTGAAAAAACAAAACAAAACAAAAATGTATAACAAAATATTCTAGTATATTCTAGATATTGGCTTATATATGTTACATTTGTTTTTCCAAGCAATTTTATAATTCTTTAATGCCATAAATATGTTCTAAACATTTATTATCTATCAAGCATCCAAACTGGGAGCAGGATAGTAGTGGGCTAGGAGATGAAGCAGAGCTGCCCTTTGAGGTATGTGTCCCACTGCAGCCTTTCCAGTTGAAACTGCTCATCACTGCAGAGATAAGGACACAGACCTAGTCAAATGTGCTGCAGCTAGAGCTCAGTGTCCACTGGGTTTTCTCACACTGAAGCTTGTGTTCCCAAACGCTGGCTGCAGAAGGTGACTAAGTGCTGCACAGAAGCCACACTGGATGCCTGACATGATCATCAAGTTTGCCTGATTATCTGAGGCAGTGTCTCCTCTCATGACACTGAGGCTCATGCTGGGAGGAGCCTGCATTTGCCTGCATGCCAGTGTGGATCCAGAGCCAGTGTTGCTTGGGGCTGGGCTGCCCTGGGTATGTGTGACAGGGACTGGTTCTGACCTCTTTGTCTTTCCACCTGGGCTTGTGTGTCCCTTTGTTCACTGTTCACACTCGCTTTAATAGGAAATGCTGACAAGATACAGGGACTCTGTTTATAAAAATTTTTTAAAGTTTTGATCTGTAGTACAAAGCCTCAGCTACATATTTCATTTACTCAACTATTCTAAGTTAATGAGTCAGAACCATGAAATATGGAAAGTCTAGGAATATGATCCTTTTTATATTGTGTGATAATTCCTAGGACTATGGTGAGAAGAATGTGAGTAGATCCCTATCATGGCTTCCACAGGAAGATGCTCCTCCAGGGCCATTGCTGCCCATGAACATGACTTCTCATCACTATAGTGCAAAGTCCTCTTCCAATAAGGACTCCTGCCTCACCCAGTTTAAAGAGTCCTCTCCTCTGCACCAGCTGTAAACTAACGGTGGCAACACACAGCCCCACTGGTGCTGTTTATTAAGAATGTTATCACTTACTCTAAATTACAAACTTCATTTAGCAGGCCAGTTATGTCAGATAATCACCACAGCAATGTAGTTAGTTATTAATAATCAGGTAGGAAAGGAATAAATGTTTACTTTCACCCCATACACAAACTCCAAACAGGGAGAGATTAAAAAAGATGGTTCCTTCTTATTCAAGATCACAGCCCCAAAGAATAACAGAATGGGGTTTAAGGCTTGTGTTTTCACTTGTCTTTAATTCTCTTTGTGTTATATCCAGACTGTAACTTGCAGTCAAAGTTATGGGCCTGCCCATTTAAAGATTTGCCAAATTCATGGCCTGTGTATCAGTTAGCATCTTACTGTATAATAAGCAGTCACTGTATCCTGGATATTCTTGTGGTTGTGGTAAATATCACTAGAGGCAAAACAGAAGCATGAAGGCCCGCTGAGTCTAAGTTGGGACCTATCGCTCCATGACTGACACTGTGAGCTTCATGACCAGGTCTTTCATATTACTCATTACATATGATCGTTTGATAAACAGAACCACTGGGCAGTGGTGGCGCACACCTTTACTCCCACTACTCAGAAGGCAGGGGCAGGCAGATTTCTGTGAGCTCAAGGCCAGCCTGATCTACAGAGCTAGTTACAGGACAGCCAGGGCTGTTAACACAGGGAAACCCTGTATCAAACAAACAAACAAAAAAGAACCAGAATGTCTGGAAAATGACAAAATTTAATCCAGGAGAAGAACAAACTGTAAGTTTAGAATACACTTTTATCCAAAAATCAGGATACACCAGCTTCAATGGCCAAGTCAGGAATGTTTGGGGTTTTACAAGTACTGGTTAGCAATAGGTTGTAATACTTAACTAATATTCATGAGTAATTAAATATAGAGGAGGCAAACAGCATTAGAATGTCAACGCAGCCTGGAGTTGTAGGTGTCTCAGTGGTTAAGAGGGTTTGCCCCTCTAAAGGACACAGGTTCGATTCCCAGTACCCACATGCAGCTCACAACCATCTGTAGTCCCAGTCTCAGGGGATCTGACCACTTTTTCTGGCCACATTGGGCACTATACACATGTGGTGCAAAGACATACATGCAGACAAAACAAAATAAATATAAATAAAATAAAATAAAAATAAAGATTAGGCTTTTTTAAGAATGGATAGGTAATTTAAGAATATGTGTGTACACATAAATATTCATATACATACATACATACATACATACATACATAAGAGAGAGGTAATAGAATTTCTAATGTCACAACTTGGCAGCCGAATGCAAAGTTTGGGAGAAAAATACCAATAGAAACATGCGGAAGAAGATTAGTTTATTAACAGTCTCAAATATGTTTACTTATAAAAATCAAAACACTGTTGTAGAAAAAAACATAGTAATCACCATCATCAATAAAATCTCAATAAAACTGACCGCAGAGGTTAGATGAGAACACCATCTAACATAAGTGACATCCTCTCAACAGGGCAGATGCTTGAGGCTCCAGTCTGCCCATTAGATAAATAAGGAGATACTTACAAAAACACTTCCTATAATCTTTAAGAAAAAAAAAAAAACTTGAGAGTTGTGAAAAAGCTGAGGAATCAGGCCCATGTGGAGAGAACAAAGGTGACACCACAGCTAAGCCTAGTTAGTATGTGACATCAGGGGTGTCATGGGCACTGCTGGCAAGCCTAATGGGATCTATTAACCACCCATATCATAAAGGTCCCTAAGATAAAGGACAATATAATCAGAATCCTAAGCCAGGAAATGATTTGGGCATGAGATAGTCCCACAAAAGTTTCTTTCTGTAAATCAAGCAAATTATAATAAATAAAGACAATTAATTTTATATTGCCTATGATGATGCAGGGAAGTGGAGGGACATTTAGCTGCCTGACATGCCTTCAGGTTTGTGGACAGAGTGCTGAGATTACTAAGAAAGGTGGCATGAAGCCTGTGTACTCTGGCCACCATGGTCTTTGCCACACTGAATCTTGTTGATCAATCTCTTAGTTCTGGTCACACAGGACATTAGTATTCAGAAAACAGCCACTTCTAAGGGTAGAACAATTTGCACTTGGTGTTGAGCAAATCTCCATTGCTCATAGAGACATTTTCTTTGCAGGATGTGGACCTATCAGAATAGAGATTCTAGAAGGGAGGCTAATCAGTTGTCCTCTGTGAGATGACATGTCCTGCTTAGGGGGAAGTCTCACCATACAAAGCTCTGCTGCTCCTAGATGCTATAAAGGAATGATTGAAGGGGATGATGGCCAGGTTTAAATATGCACTAAATGATGAACATGCCTGTCTGTAGAGTTCATCAGGAAACTGATTCAATGTTTGAGACAGAAAACAGGAAGAAAATGAACGCAGAGATGTCAAGCTTTGATCTGTTTCTAGTTGCGCATCATTAACAAGCTAGACGTTTTGCAAGGGAAGCCTGTTTGTCTCTGCCTTTCATGTTAGGAACTCAGCTCTGACACATGCTTATATGTTGGAACCTATTCATTCCCTAAGATTTATTTTACTTACATATGTGGGAATGTGTCTCTGTGTATGGGTTTATGTGTTTGCATGTGACAGTGCCCATGGAGGCTAGACAGGGGCATTGAATCTCGTGAATCTTGAATCTCAGGTGTTTGTGTACCTCCTGAGGTGGGTGTTAAGATCTGAACTCCAGTCCTCTGATAGTGTAGTTAAATAACCTTAATCATCAAGCTATATCTTCCTCAAAAGGATTATATACCAGTGATGAAAATGCTGTTCAGCCATTGTGTAGTATATCATATGTGTTTGTTAAAATTTTTTTTGAAAATCCTCCAGACTAGTCATACATGCTCTCGCGCCAGCTCAGGCCTCTCACTTCTATTGTCCCACATGAAACCTGTGATCCTGGAGTTTCATATTCAGTGGAACATTGTAGGAGGAAATTGGGAACACCAGTCCCGGAAGGCACCAATGGCAGCTGAGAATGTATCTCATCTTGTTTTATTTCCTGCAGGAAAGCGAGCTTGCATTGGAGAGCAATTGGCCAGGTCTGAGCTATTTATTTTCTTCACTGCTCTTGTGCAAAAATTTACCTTCAAGCCGCCAGCCAATGAGAAGCTGAGCCTGAAGTCCAGAGTGGGTATCACCATTTCCCCAGTCAGCCACCACCTCTGCGCTGTCCCTAGACTGTGATGTCAGAGACAGAACAAGAAAGAAGGGCAAAAAAAAAAAAAAAACTGAGGGATCCTCTGAGCCACTGGGCCCACCCACACATGAAGGAAGAGATGGATGATAACTGAGGAAAGATGATGGGAGGATTATGCTAAAGTCATTGGATCCATGTCCTGGATGCTGTGACCTCTAAATTGGTGGTGGATAAATCACATATATCTTTTCATCTAAGACTTGCAAAGAGGATGATGGTTTCTCCTGTAAAGAAAGTGCTTGTAAACATGAAATAGCATTGGGACCACTGAGTCATATCATAAATTGTACCTTCAGTTTGCTTCCTGCCTCCTTAATAAGTTTGTGTTTGTCTCTGGGTGTTAAATTGGTTCAGTTGAAAGTGGTACCGAGATCTTTTCTCTGTCTCATAGCCTGTGGAGGTTTGCGGGAACAGAACTGATAGATGACTATGTCCAGAAGGCTGTGGTGTGAGATTATTTTTCTGGCTGTCAGTGGAGTATCCAATACTAAAGAGAACACAAGACTCTTCTGAAAATTAAAGGTGCTCATGCCCAGGAGGAGACCAAATTTTACCTGGGCAAAAGACATGCTTCTGTGCACAAAGTAAAAACCTATTTCCTGGTAAAGTTCTAATATACCTGTTTGCCCCCACAGTATCAGTTCATGCCACTAAATGTATAGGGTGGCTTTCTTTCTACAGTCTAGAGTAAGTCATTTATCTGCCATTGCTCTATGAAGGGTGACAGGCAGATGGCCTCATTCATATGTTCACCAGGTGCACAGTTAACCTCTATACTCAAAATAGAACCAAAACGTACTTGTAAAATGAAGGGTATCAGGGCAAGACACAGGCTGAAAACCCTCTGTTCTGCACAGCAGATATTTTCCTCACAGAACCAAATCTCATGTTGCCATAATGAGTCAGTATCGAAAACTTTAGAAGAGCTGCTTCTCAGGGTTCAGAAAAAGAAACTACAAATAAGCAGAGGAACTAAAATCTGAGGGGAAAATGAGTTTGCTCACTTACAATTGCTCCTCTACATGTTCCTTTATTCTACTTCCTTTTCTCTGCCTCTCTCTGTATTTCTTCTCTGTTTGTTTCTCCCCAGTTCTTGGGAGTACCAGTATATATAGTTTGCCACAGTAATTCGTTTTACAATACAATGTGAGGTTTGATTTTCTCAGGGTCAGCAAGGCAGATAAGATTTGCACACAGAGCAATAAACTAAAACTGCTAGGAGAAACTTAGCATCAATTGCTTAGGACTGTAGGTCAAAGAGAGGGTCTAAGTTTAATTTGCACAAGAAACAAAACCAGCACCTTTCAGTGCTCTGGCCTCTGTGGTGGCCCAGGCCTTTAGGAAAGTTCACTTTTCCCTGAGGATGAGCAAATAGGCTGATTACCTATGTCTGTATCTTCTCAGGGGAAACAGGAGAGAATAGTAAATCTCTGGGCTAAATCTCGGGTTAATAAAACAAGAAGTTTGAGAATCTTTTAGTGCAGGGTAAGTTTGGGTTATTGCTTCTCTGTCAGTGAGGTAAAACTAGGGGCATGCTTATTTTATTTTTTTTTTTCTATCCATCTAGGCAGCTAAGATTCAACAACTTTGGGTGTGTAGTAATTCTATGTCCTTAGATATTTGGGAATGTCTGAGATGGAATGTTTTTGCCTGGGTCCTAAACACTGACCAAATGCCTGTCAATAAAGGTAATTGCAGGAAGGCAACAAGGACCTGATAGTAGGAAACAGGTCTCACACATAGCTAAGGAATATAATCAGTGAACTAGGACCTGTTAATGGAGAACAGGTTTTACACATAGTAAATGTAATCAGTACACTCCAAATGCATGGGAGAAATTTATTCTCAGTAAATGATCAGATAGTGCTGAACTGTGGAAAGTAAATCCCAAGTTTATTACAGAAAGCAATAAGCTACAGGGAGAATTTATAGCAAGAAACAGCCAATTCATTCACAAGATTACAACGCCAAGTACAACTTTTGTGCTGGTTTAATCCATCAGGACAATTCTTAATTCTTCTGAGTTATCTCATGATATGATGGCTATATAATTACTGTATGATCTTGAGGCTTGTAGCAAGCCAGAAATGTTGGGAGTCATTGACTGTGACTCCTAACAGAAATGTCTACCCATGAAACATGTACCGCTTTTTATGCATGTTCATAAAAAATAGTATAAACTTAAGTCTCCCTCCCTTTCAAGAATTATACAAAGATTTTGTGATTGCACTTTGCAACCACTATTCCTCCCTGATTCTGGATGCTCCAGGACTCCTTCCCATCTTCATAATGCACTAATATTCCTTCCCACCTTTATATCTGCCTGATACCTCTAGTATGGGCCATATGGCAGGAAAGGAAGTCGTTTCATTAAAAGATCTCAGAAAGTGAATTGTCTCTCAACATTCCCCTACAAAGAGACAGAAGTGGGTGTGCTAGAGTGAACATTTAAAATTATACAGGACTTTGAGGGACTTAGAACAAAGAAGGAGAAAGACACAAAACACCCTGAGTCTTAAGGAGGTCTGTCTAGAAAACCAGGACTGCATATACCTGGGCAGGTGTGGAGGAGAGATGCTGAGGGACATATGAGGCAGTATCTGGCTTGATAACCAAGTAGCAAAGATGGCTTCCTGGGAGAGGAAGCAGCATAGTCAGCACAGAAAGGACTAGAATGTCCTGTCTTTGCCCCTTGTCCAACCCCAAGCCTGCTGATCATTGGTATGCCCAGTTCACGGGACCCCAAAAAATCCAATACCGAGGAGGCGACTCACCAAATGCAAGAACAAAGGTTTCTTTATTATCTTGCCTCTCAGAAGGGATTCCATCAGCTTCAGAGCAAAAGGAATGTTGCTTATAGCTAAGGGGGTGGGGGTGGTTTAAAGAGAAAGATCATGAGGCTAAAAGCCTTGAGATTGCAAAACTTCTGTAGTTACATAGGATAAAATAATGATTGTATGTTTAGGTGAGATACAGTTGAGCAGGATATTGGGTTATAGGTTTGTTAATTGTCTCCTGGGCCAGAAAGTTTTACAACCTCAAATTAGTGGCTATCTGATTTTCTTTCAGCCAGAGGAATGTTGACACAGCTGGAGTGTGTTATCTGGCCTTAGGCCTCTAGTCATGTCCTTTGTTTAGCCTTATCAGTCAGGCTGTCTTTGGGAATTCAGAGGAGCTTGAAATTTTTCTTTTTCCTTTGTCGTCTAAGTTTTTATACTTTTATTAATTTTTCCTATTTCAGTATCAAAAGGGAACACAGAAAAAATATTAGAATGAAGGAAGGGCTTGAGGATAGCAATATGGGTCATGTTACTTCATGAAGTCTTTTAAGCTTATAATCTTGTGTTTTCTTCCTTTAAAATGGGGTACAAGGGCCTGGACATCTGGTTCTGAAGTTAAAGGCACTTGATGAGACTCTTCTAGGGGATCCAGGTCTGACTGAGAGCAACTACGGTCTCGTGGAATCTGATTTCCTCTTTTGGTCTCACAGGTACCATTCACATAAATGGTACACAGATATTCAGGCAAAACTTCAATACATACATTTTTTAATTAAAAAAGGGGGGTATAAGAGAAAAAGTCTTGCCATTTGATGGAAAGGATAAAATTCAAAACTAAGACATTTTTTGTACTGCACTTTCTGTCTTAGTACTCCATAAGGAAATAAGACTGTTATGCCCAGTTCGAGGAACCCCCAAAACATCCACCGCCAAGGAAGTAACTCACTGAATACAAGAACAAGGGTTTCTTTTATTGTTTAATGAGCTAACCCCATTAACTTGGGCCCCTTGTCCATTCATCACTGTGGTGGTAAAAGACCTGCGGAGGGCTTGGACCCTCATGCCCTGACTCAGGAAAGGCGGACCCCCCAAATCACTCACGAGAAGCGGTCTTGATGCAAAAGCATGAGATCTTTTATATTCCAGTGCACTGGGGTCCACAGCCATACTCCACGTGGGGTAGAGGACTGGGAACCCCAGGTACAGGGTTCACACAGCTTTTATAGGGTTACAACAAAGCCCGGGCATCATAAACCAATCATCTCATAGCATCCAATTTGAACTATCCAAGCCCGCACTTTGCCCAGGAAGTCTGCTTTCGCTAGGGCTTCTGGGTAGTGTGGCACGGCTCATTTCCTGTTCTCATTCACTCACAGGTGCTGTCCTTAAACCGCCCTGTGGTAAACAGTCAAGAATGACCTTTTGCTTACTCACTGTTAGGGAGCAGAGTCTAGGGAAATATAGGCTAAATTTTTCTATCCTTACAGTGGAAAGAGAAGGGTCCTGGGAGCCACGAGGTTGGGAACTTACTGGGAAGCCTAAGGGGAGTGTCTAGTGGTATGAAACAGTCTCAGGATTAATGAGCTTCTAGGCTTGGATGCCCTGTCCTGTGTTGATTGGTCAGCTGGTTGTTATGGCCTATAGGCCCTCCCAGGGCGGTTGCTATGCTCTGCATGTCACTGTTGTGTCACTTTTACCATAATGCACACCCAGAACCATAAAGCACATCCAGAGTCGTGCCAGCTAACTTCTGATTGGTTCCTTGCCATGAAGAGGGTATCTGACCTCCTAGTGACCAGGGCAGGCTCAGCATGATCAGACATGTGCTGAGTCAGAGGCCTACATGTATTTTCTGCAGCCTGTCATGGCTGCTAAAGCAGGGGTCTGGTTCCTTCAAAGTAAAGATGGCAAGATATTCCTTGAGACACTTATGTCTATTCATCCCAGTTAGACAGAGCACCAACTTACCCACATGATGTCCTGATGGGAGATGCATGCATGCATACATACATACATACATACATACATACATATATATATATATATATATGTTTCTCATGCTGGTTAATGAATAAAGCACTGCTGGCCAATAGGAAAGGAAGATAGGAGGGACTAGGAGATAAGGAGGAAAGAGGAAGTAGTAAGGAGGAGTCAAGATGGAGAGTCTGGAGAAGGTAGAACTGCCAGCCACCTTTTCCTGGTAAGACCATGTGGATATACATAGAAATGGGTTAACAATTAAGACAGAGCTAGCCGATAAGAAACTAGTACCCAGCCAACAGCATTATATCAAATACAGAGTCTCTGGTTATTATTTGGGGCAGGTGCAGCGGCGGGACCAGACCGGTGGAGGAGGAAAAACCTTACTCCTTACAATGTCCACAGTAATTGGAGCAACGGCACTATGAAAAGAGTATGGATGATTCACAGGCATCTGAACCAAAATGTGCCCTGCTTGATTGACAGGCAGCTCTGCAACTGAAGAGTCTCTTCCCTATTCCCA